AGGTACTTTTTTGTGTAAATTTTTACCAATATAGTATTTCATAAAATTTCCTCACCTTTTTTATTGCAAGAAAGTCATTGTATTAGGGCTCAAAAATATTAATGCTTTAAGTATGGAAAACGATTTTTAAAATGACCAACTTGGGAATTAATGTTGCAAATTATAGTCCACATTTAAATATATTAGCATATACAGAAATCTAATAGAACATCCAAATAAATTGTTGATAAAGACACTGAATTTAGAAATCAGTAAACGTTGTCTACAAAATTCAAATTATATAGTAATAATAGGGGTTGTAGGGGGTCTTAAGTCTTCATCTATCCAACCAGAAAGTGAATTTAGAATGTCCTGTGTACCAGACATTGTGCTAAGCATGGAAGATACACAGTCAACAAAACTCAGGATCTCTTCTCATGTGAAGTTTACAGTAGCAAGGAGGACAGACCTTATACAACTGCAAATAATGTATAAATTGAAATGAAGAAAAATTACAGGGGATTTTAATAGTATGTTAACAGGGAGACTAAACTATGCTAGGGAATTGGGGGATATGACCTGGAGGAACTTAGGTTTAATCTGAAACCCATGGGATGAGTAGAAGTTAGCTAGATGTGCTACAGAGGACAGGAAATGAAGAGCAGGGAATAACAAGCATTTCAGGTAGATGGTAGAGTATTGATAAAATCACGGAAAGTCTAGCACATCCAAAAACTGAAAAAGTACAGAATATGAAGGGGGTAAGTGGAAGAGAACACAGTGATTCAAAAAATGTTGCAAAATCTTCAGATGTGGGTTTTTTTCTCTTTTTTTTAGTTTTCTAGTTTGAATATCAATGGGCTAACAATTATCAGAATTAATAAACACAAATCAGATTCTACTAAGTTCAGACCAATACGCCCAGGCTTAAACAGAAGACAAGGCCGACGGAGGGCATCAACTGTGTAAAACTTTTGAACTCTAGCGCTTTCTGCCTTCCTTTCCTTTCACTCTCCTCAGACCCAATCCGTCTACTGACACTGCTTCTTAAATATTTTTTCTTAAATTTGGGATGCATTGTATCCTCCCACATTTTTACACTTCTCAAACTGGACTGTACTTAACAAATTTTTTTTTCCAAAGTTAGGACCATATATCAGATCATTGAATTTTAATCTAAATGTGAAATATGGATCCCTAAGAATAACTTTCCATGTCTTCAAAAGGTGACTCTGTGACACAATATTAAGAGGTCACATGTGTGCAGAAGATTGCCCGTTACACTTTGGGCAGCATAATTAAGGTTAAACAAACAAACAAACAAAAAAACTAGGAAATTTCTCAGCACACACAGAGATATTTCAAAGATGGAAGATATTGGTATGACCTGTGCATGCTTAGCAAAGGATAATTAAGGATGAGACATAAAATACTAATTTGTGCAAAGTTTACACCTAATTTTGGAGAAAGGATGTTTTAACTCAGTTATATATAATTCGAGTAAAAAAATAATTTAAATGCATTCAAATCCCTAAAACTATCCATATTGAACATGGATTATAAAAAGTCATATTTAGATGAAAGCAATTCAAAAGAGTCTGAATTTGAAGGCATAGACTCAAGTGTTGATTGTGATAGTGAAGCAAGAGGTATATAAATGTAAAATAGTGCTTCAGAACCTTAAGTTACCTACAAATTACTCTGAGATTTTGCTGCAATGCAGAATCTGATTCTGTCAGGAGATGGGCTCAAGATTTTGTATTTCAAATAAGATTTCAGTCCAGGACCAATTAGGCAAGGTATTAGACCAAACAGTAGTGTAGTATCTTCCCCATCCCCAATGCAGATACTAAATCAAAGATTGTCCTTAAACTGATCTCATTTAAGAAGATAGTCTTAAATTGGAAGAGATAGATTATCTTTAAAATCCCATTATTTCCCTCCATCTCCACTGCCATCTTAATCTGAGTCACCCTGGCTATCTTGTTCTTGGGTTGCTGTTAATAGCCTCCTAAATGTTTTTTTTTTGTGTTGTCTTGCCACCTCTTAATTCTCTGCACTAAAGCACTAAAATAAATCCTTCAAAAACTCAATCTGGTTATATTGTGCTGCTTAAAATTTTCAGTGAATAAAATACAAACTGCTTCTGGGCCTGTATAAACTGACCTCTAGCCTCTGTCTCTCTCTCACACACACACACACACACACACACAGTGAATTTCTTTCAAATGATCTTTCTCTCAAGCCTTTGTTCATGCTGTTGCAGTTAGTCCTTTTGCTTAAGCCTTCTTCCCTGGCTGCCATTCATCCTTCAGGATTTAGATTCATATCATTTCCTCTTAAAAGCCTTCCCTCCACTCCAGATTAGTGAGATGCATCATACTCCCTTTTGTACTTGTTAGACATTGTTATTGCTTATTTAATTGTCTTTCCTGCACTGAGAACAGGAACCATGTTTGTCTTGTTCTCTGGCTCTGACCAGGGCCTGGCACACTGACTCACACTTAGTTAACTTTCTATTAACTTTCAGTCTAAATCCATTTACTAACATACTGACAAAGTATGATGACTCTTTTCAAGTTTCAGAGACAGCAAAATAATGAAAGTAGAAACACTGTCCACTGAGGAACCAGAAAAAAAGAATCCACTCAGGGTAAATTTAACTGGTAAACTACAAAAGTGAAAAGTAAGAGGTGGGAGTAGATATGGGAACTTATGGTCCAATCAATAGGGACAACCAAAAGGTTTTTAAGAAACAGGTATGGTATAGAATAATTCTGGTGCGTATCCACAAGTGTCTTACAAGATTTCAACACCAAATCAATTGAAGAGCTAGACCCAATCATTTAATAAGTTGATTGTGCTCCAAATCCATATCAACTTAAGTGAACTGAAAGATTAAATATACAAACTAGGACTTATTTCATAATATTCAGCCTTCTCATTGCTCTAATTCCCACTATTCAACTTTCTGTAATTAATATTGTCATTCTCCCTTTTTTCTTTTCTTCTTAACATCCATCTATAACAAAAATGCAAATACTTTGTACATTTGGGATACTTATTAAAGTCCATTTTAGAATGTTGAGTTCAACATTTTGCATTTAAAACAATTAAAAATTTCTATTAATGATTTAGTAAATTTCAGAGAAAACTAAGACACACACACTAGCTAGTCCCCATTCCTACAAGTATTAGATAGAAATAAAAATCATGATAAAGTGAACATGGACTTAAAAATGTGCCCTCTTCCCAAAATAAAGCTGCATGTTCTGAGTGTTGTCAGTGCTATTGGACCGGTTTTCCAGTTTTCTTTACTTTTTGAGTAGTATAAGAAACCTGCCGTTTTCACTGGAAACATTAAAGCTCAAGTAACACAACAATTAAAGTTTTGATTTTGCAGTTTAACATTCAAGTTTCACACTACCCCCACCTCTCCACCCTCTCCACATCCTTCAGCTTGAAAGAAAGAGGACAAACCTGGGGGTTGTTAAAAAGTAAAAATGAAATCTATAATGTTATTTGAGCTCAAAAAGTGTTGTAGTTTGTAAAATTGACAAGGTTCTTTTACTTTTTAATGCTTCCCCAAGTGCCTGTCAACTATATAAAGTGGAGAGTAATGAATGGCATAAAACACAGTTCCAAAGTCTTTAAGTCTTTATTTTTTAGGGAATGTAGTACATGTTAAAACATTACATGTTAGAGTAAAACAAACAAAAAAATATAGAACCACTTTTTCCCACTTATTAGTCCTTAACAGGAGCATTTGAGATCTTGCTACCCAGCATATGTCGTCAGTTTGGCTCAAATAAACTCTTATAAAATTTTTTTTTAAAAGTAGTCCTTAGCTTTCCCTAGAATTTTCTGATAATTTTTAATCTGTTCTGACTAGTATCTTAGCTTATGCATTCTTTTTTTTTTTTTTTTTAGTTTCAGGTGTACAAATCAATGTAATAGTTATCCTTTTCACCCCTTACAAAGTGACAACCCCCCTCCCCCATCCACTGCCCTCCCACCCCCGATATCATACATATCTATTGCAATTCCCTTGACTCCATTCCCACACTATACTCCACATCTCATGATTATATATGTATTAAATTATAGTTGACATATAATATTATTCAACAGCAGCTTCAGATTACAGTGCAGCGGTCAGGCCTCTACGACTGGATTAAGAAACTGTGGTACATTTACACAATGGAGTATTACTCAGCTATAAAGAAGAAAGAAATCGTACCATCTGCAACGATATGGATGGACCTAGAGGACATTATGTTAAATGAAATAAGTCAGTCAGAGAAAGACAAATACGTCATGCACTCTTTATGGTGTTCCTATATGATCTTGATCCAGACCTACTCAGAGTATAGGACAATAGGGCGGCATGAGCTGCTGATGTCTTTGTTGTTAGTATAATAAATACCTTTCATCCAGCTTATGACAGAATTAAGGGGATGGAGTTAGTGAAAACCCAGCTAACTAAGGGTTTAATTATGTAGCCCCAAATAATCTCTCCAGGAATCTCCTCCCTCACTTTCTCAAGAACTTAATTAATCAAAAGGGGCTGGTTTATGATTACAAGGTACCGTATTTGCCGGCGTATAAGACGATTTTTTGGCCCTGAAAAATATGCCTCCAAGTGGGGGGTCGTCTTATACGCCAGGTACACTTCAGATAGACTGCCCATAGTGCTTGCCCCGTGCCATAGTGGCCTCCCGATGCCCGCCCACTTCATTCCACATACCGTTCAGGCATCAGCAGCGCTGCTGGGTGTATGCTCAGCTGTTATGCGATTTTACCACACTCACAAAATCGCACACAGCCGACCATACACCCAGTATGATAGCGCAAAATCGCGAATCGCGATTTATGTATATGTTTGATTACATACAGCCTTGTGACAGTTTTCCTGCATGTCATAAACATTTGAATATAAATATAAATGTTGAAATCAAATCTGATATTGTTTTACCTTTTATTTGGTGTGTGGAAGGTGTGCGGAAGAGGGGGTAGTCTTATACGCCCAGTCGTCTTATACGCCCAGTCGTCTTATACGCCGGCAAATACGGTACTTACCAAATTGCCAAAGAGGGAAAACTTAACTTTTTCTACAATTTCTACAAAAGGTAGAATAATAAATCATTTGGCTATCTCTTCATTAATTTCAACAAAGTAAACTTTGCTTTCTTTTTTCCAAAGATTATGCTGCCAAAGTAGTAAAGGTCTTTGTTAAGTGTAAATGTATGGTGTTACTATGAGCTGATTTCATTAGCTCTTGTTTAAGTTGTTATATGAAAGTATAATAAAATTTGGATTCTAAATTTCCACTTGATAATGTAAGACATTTTGTACTATATTTTCAGTTGATATTTATAATTTGCACACTACATGTAAATTAGGAGACTAAAAATGTTTCAAATCATATAACTGTGTGTATATGCACACTACATAAGGAAAAAAGGAAATAGAATGTCAACTATAATTGAAAAAAAAATTTTTTAAAGAGGGAGGAAAGGAAAACAGAGATAAGGAGACTTACTTTTTCTCCTGTCTTGCACAAAACTTCAAAAATGTTTCTTTTTAAACAAAATTGAATTGAATTTTGAATTGAGTTTTTCAAAAAGGAAAATATGACCTTTGTTTTATAGGAAATCTTTTGTTTTAATAAAAGATAAAATACTTTTTGTGGCAACGAACCACAAGGTGGTGCTATAATCCCACGCTAGCACTAATATTTTTAGAAGTTAATTGATATAATAGTGTTTACTTTTATAACTTAGCTCTTGATTTTTTATAAATATTTTGTAATTGAAAATATGAAACTAATTGGATTCGTTCTAGAAATATTAACTGAAATGCTACTAAATTCAAGATTGTATATTAATTTGAAATTTTCATAAGTTTCAAGAAATGACGTAAGCATGTATTAGAATACTAAAAATGCTTTAAGTTATTTTACTTAGAATCTCAACTTAATGTTTCATATGCGACAAATTTCAAATTATACATATATATAATATAAACAGATGAATAAATAAAATATAATCGAATGTACTAAATAACAATTTGAAAAAAAAAAAAAACTTTCCTTTTTCCCTCCAAAATAATAGAATCAATTTTCTTGAAGATTACCCAGGACAATTATTACATTTTTTATTTATCAAGTTAAAAAAAGTAATTTATCTAGTAATTTAAAGTGAATTTCATTTTTCTCTTGATTTATTTAACTTCATCTAAGACTTTTTCTCTCACCAGAAAAATCTATTACTTCCCATCACTTAAAAAGAAAAAAAACCTCACTGTGTATCTTGTAATACTGGACAGCCACCATCTGTGTCTGTGCTGCTGGTCTTAAAATGTGTTACAGAATAGAGCACTAAAATACTCAACACATTTTTCACAGTGAACTTTCCGGCCTGCTTCTTGATACAAAAAGAGAATCATACCCTTACTTTTTCAATGTGAACTGAAAATGTGTTGCTGTTTTTTGACTAAGCATAAGATTGCTGTATTTTTGTTTTATGTAATTTTCAATGAGCATTTTAAACTTTTCATTACAACATATTCATCAGTACAGATGGCAAGATGGTATGTACGACAGCCTCCTGGGTACAATATGCAAGTCGTAGTTGGAGTGTTTCCAACAGGATGTAAACTATGGTCCCGAAGCCTGTACTTTGAAAAACATATTACTTAGCACACTGCCAACAAATGTCAACACAAAAATACAGTGCTGTAATGACTTCACTCAGTAAAAGAAATGTACTGGCACATAAGTTTTCCTGCGGAAAGTAAAACAGAGTAAAGCCGTATAATCATAGTGCAAAAATATTTAAATATTTATTCACTATTGAATGAAAAAGCTCAGATTAAAAATGGAATTAAAATTCTTAATAAAAATATTGCTGTATATTAAAATTCGAAGAGAATTCTTAAAATATACAACATGTATAGTAGCCAAAGTCCTAGAGAAGTTCATGTAGAAAATTCTATAATTAGTGATTTGGACCTTTCAGTAACTCTGCAGTTTCTTCAAACCTGAAAAATAATAAATAATAAATTAATTAAATAAATATCATAATGAGGAATAGGATTTAAGTTGTTGAAATAATGCTTTTGAGCCTAAAATAAATTTCAGTATTTCTATTATTTGTAGGTATAGTTATTAAAAAATTAAGCATACTACAGCCAGAGGAAAGGACTATAAATAAAGTACAATCAGATAAACTAAATAATAATTTAAAAAAAAAACTTTCCTTTTTCCTTCCAAATAATGGAATCAATTTTCTTGAAGATTCAGGGTGATTATTATATTTTTTATTTATAAAGTTAAAAAAAGATAATTTATTTAGTAATTTAAAGTAAATTTCGTTTTTCTCTTGATTTAACTTCATCTAAGGCTTTTAATCTCTCCAGAAAAATACGTTACTCCCCATCACTTGAAAAGAAAAAAAGCCTCACTGTGTATCTTGTAATACTGGACAGCCACCATCTGTGTCTGTGCTGCTGGTCTTAAAATGTGTTAAGTCAATTAGGAGTCTTTATTTCTTGGGCATAAGTTATTTCAGTACTTCTCAAATTTCAAAAAATATTATAGTTTTTTAAAGTAGTAGGCTGCATAATAATTTAAATACAAATTGCCTATTTCCTTTCAACTGCTCTTTAGATAGAAGTATCATTTTTAGTATTACCTTACCAATAACTTTCTGAAAAGGCTAGCAATACTTTAACAATGCTTAAAATGTCTCCAAAGCATCCATCTACATACATTTGGTAAACCAGTTATCAAAAATAGATAATACTCTTGATTAACTATCAACCAAAAATATCTCTGCACTCTTTAATCTGCAATTAATTCCATTAACAATGTTTCACATCACTTGTTGGAAACCAAAACAGTGACTCATCTCACAAACACATAACTGTAGGTGGATTTATTATCCACTTGAGTCCTGAAGGAAATTCCACACCTGATCGAGAGACCTTTAAGGTTTGAAACACACATGCACATTCTATATATACTGTAATCCAATACAATTCCCCATAGAGAAATGAATTTCTGTTGCCCCTTTCTGTTACTTACATTTTTTTCATCCTTTCCATTTTCTGGATTGTTGATTCCTTTAATTTAAAAAGCAACAAATTTAGGCGATTTCTCAAAGTAAACCATCATCAAAGATGGACTGTGAACATATAGAACACAGTCTAAAACATTGCATTAAATACTGTTTACTCATCACAAAGAATTTTTATGAGAGATTAAGATTTACACGGCTTCACTATTTTTCTACAACTACATCTAATGCTTGCTTGTTCTCCTGACCTTAGAAAGGAAATCACCTAATCAGCTGCCAGTTTTTCTTACCTCTGAAACATCTTTCAAACCACAGTAATTAATAGTTGAGGTTCTGGGAGTTGAATCTACTGATGCTGTATTAGGAGCAGAGGACGGAGGAATGCTTGCTTCTCTCTCTTTGCTTTTTCTGTCTGTAGAGAAATTAATTTTTAGGTTATCTTTTCCTTTCACAGTGGAGTCAAATATCTAAAAATTTTATGTATATATGAAAGAAAAACAAACATTATTTTAATATAAGTGGTTACTGGTATAGATACAGATGAGTTTTTAATATTCTTCTAAGATAATGACCTGTATATAAAGATCTAGATGTTAAAAATTGGCCAATAATAATTACAAAAGGCAATATTATCTTTATCATGATAGCAATGAATTGAACAAATAGGCAAGTTAATAAATTATTCTTAAATATAAGCTACTGACTCATGTATATTCTTTTCTTAAAATGGTGGCAACTATTACTAAAACCGACTATATAAAGTTTTTAAAAATCAAGAAACATTCTATCCTGAGTTGATGTGTGTGTGAAAAAAATAATGCTTAACATTCAGGATTCACAGATTTCTTTTCCTAAAGTACTGAAAGCTTTCCACTTCCAGTGTCACTTATTCAACAAAATGATGGCAAATCTTTTCTACAACTGAATTATAGAACATCACAGATAAGACATGCTCCTGTTGAATCAATCAACAGGCTTGAGGACCATTTGGCTGCAAAAACAAGGCCAAAAAAAAATTAGACACCCACTTAAACTGGTTTACAGAGACAGTTTTACTGTAAGCCTACACAGACAACCTCAATTAGGGAACAAAGTATTACCACATGAGGACTGAAACAACCAGAAAGACTTCTACTTTCATCTCTTTTGTTTACTTCTCTTGCCTATTTGCTCCATTCCTCTGCTTACTCATCTACATGAACTTGGAAAAAATGGCCAGCCCAGACCAACCTCAACATCATTTGATTGACTTATGCTTGGTGTCCTAATTCCAAATTCCCAAGGAAGACAGAATTATTTGGCTCAACACCTTTTGTACTGCTATTCCCTGGATTAGGTGTCTAATCTTGATCGAATTATCTGAGCTCAGGGGTCAAGATCACATGGAACGACTTTGAAGACTAGCTACATCTAACTCTTAGCTGACTGCAGGCTGTTTCCAGGTTACTGTCAAATGCATTTCCTTACCTGTTAGTTACTTATATAAAAGCTACTGTTTAAGTTTAAATGAGAAACTTTGCAGGTCCATTTTTATTATTCTATAGCATTTAGCAATTAAAAGGGTAAAACATCTGTAAAAGTTTGGAATTTTGTACATTAGAATTCATTCAACCACTATGTCATGAAAAATATGTGAGCTGGCTTCTTTAGCAATTCTTGACTTCAGTAGTCTGTAAGTTCAATATTTTCTTTGTTCCTAGGTAGGAGCTTTGTAGTTTCTAAAATATAAGGCTTGGGAATATTAAAATTAATGAATACCTATAAAAATCATTTTTCCAAACTCCTAACTATACCACCAATACTAATACCATAAGAACTTACCAGATTTCAGAATATCCACATCACTACTAGAAGCACAGTCTTCCTGTATTTCATTAAACTCTATGTATTCATCATTCTGGAATAATATAGTGTAGTAGTTAGAATGAAATGAAAAGAAAAATGTTCTCATTTTATATTCTTACTAATAAGCATAAAATATAAAGATGACATGATAAATGTTTAAATATTCAAATATTTCATTTATTGAGCAATTAATATTCCTATGTATAAGACAAACTCCTTAAATGTAGAATCAGAGAATAACCTTCTTGACTCTAATAACTTTATTATTTATGAAGGAAAGATAGACTAGGGCCAGAAATTGAAATCCTGAGTAAATAAGGAAACGAATTCCTCAGATTTGATAAGGCAAGGCAAATTCGGTAACTATATCTATGACATTTACAATTTGGTTGAAGTAAATGAGTGAGAAAAGGGAATTCTAATTTTCTTCACCCTGTAAAATAGGCCATTTGTACTATTATAGGATATAAAATAATTTCAAGCTTTTCATAAGCAAAATGAAACATTTTACCTCATTTTAAATACTTCAAGTATTAACAGCTCTAAAAGCTCAATTTAAAGGTTTGTCAGGTTATTTTACTCAAGGAAGAGAAAAGCAGTAGCCACTATAATAGCAACAAAACAGGCTATGTCTAAACAGGACTTCATTCCCACTAAATATTTTTCCATTGCTTAAATATTCCCTTATTAAGCATTTCCAAAAGAATACACATACAACGAGTAAAAACTTCATTGTATCTGAAGTATCCTATAAATGGTAAGGAAAGAAAATACCTTTTTGGACAAAAGCAATTCTGTTTCGAGAAGAGTGACACGACTTAGAAGATTAGTCCAAGTTTTTTCATTTACCATCACTTTTCCTTTCATTTTTTCTTCCAAAGAGTCTAATCTACTCTCTATCCAAGGCAGTTTCTTAAGCTTTTCTTGGCATTCAGCAAGCATAGTCTGTAGTGCAGTAATCTCAGAATTAACTTCTATATCCTAAAATGATTAGAAGGATTAAAAATATTTTCACACAAACTGAAATTCCTTTCACAGTCAACGTATTCCCATTTCCACTGTGTTATTTCAATAGCTACAATAGGCAGTACAGCACGGAGGCAGACTTCTTTATGGGCACTGAATACTAGCTCGTCGAAGATGTATGACCTCGATGCCTCAACTTCCTCATTTAAAAAAACAACAACAGTACCTACTTCATATGGTTCTTGTGAGGATGAAATAAGTTAATAAGGCTCTTAGAACAACGCCGAGTAGTACAATAAAACTATCACTAACTAGCTTCTCATAACAACACCTAGTCCAAAGCTAAGAGGAAATGACCAAGAAATGACAGTGCATTGAAACTGTTCAGTTTGCTATAAGCAGGAAATAAGTCGAATGGCCATCTGGTAGTTCTTATAAATGTCAACTGTATACTGAGATGTATGAAAGTCACAAAACATAGAAGAAAGGTAGAAAATGGAGTTCTAGTAGAAGCAGTCAAGATTAGACAGTACAATAGGGTCTATGGCAATAAAGCAATAGAAAAGGTACTACTCTAAGAGAGAAAAGAACAGCAAGGGCCCAGAAAGGAAAAGGAGAAAGCAGCAGCGTACCAGTTCTTTGCCATTCATCAATATAGGGAATAGGTGGTAGAGAACCTTCTCCGTACAGAGTAGTGTATCTCTGTCTCATTAAACTGTAAATTCCTCGAAGCCAAGTACTATGTCTTATTCGTCTTTGAATTACCCATAACACCTAGCCCAGTATCCAAGCCTGTGTCGCAAATAATATCGATTCAACTATATCCAGCAAGACTTACTTGTTACTAAGTAATGGAAACACAGGTAATGTGTCATGATTAGTAATTCAAAAGGCTAGAGATACTCTCAAGTTTAGATGCTGAAGTCATCATGCGCATCAAAGAAAAAAACATTGGCATCCATTAAAGAAATGCAAAACTCTTACTTGTTGCTCAGACTTGATTTCAGGGAGCTTTTCTTCGGGAACCTTTATTTCAGTATCCTTTAAGTTACCCACATCAAATGCTTCATTAACATCTGTTACTGTACTTAACGTATCTTCAGGAATGCTAACACCATCTTCATTATACAGGTGACGAATCACCACAGCTTTCTTCTGAATAGAGAAAAATATGTCAGAGCTGCTTCAATGTTCCCCTACACAATTATTTTAAATACACGCATAGTAGCTTTGCAAAAGAACATCCGATCTTCCCTTTAAGATTTACAAAAGTTTAAATTACCACACATAACATCTATATCAAACATTAATTAATGTTGTTAATATTTTATATGTGATGATGACATTGTGGTCGTGGTTTTTTTTAAATTTTTTTATTCTTTACAGCAGATGGGTAATGTACTGATGTCATAACAAGATTTGAGGGGGGTACATCTCATCCAAGAGCACAAAACCAATCATCATGCATATGAAATAGAAAAGGATTGGGTCATGATTTTTTTAAAGCATTCTTACATATTAGAAAGAATACTGAAATATCTCTTCAGTGATGTCTGGGATTTGTTTCAGATTTGGGGGCAAAGATGTTGGGAAGAGCAGTTACAATAAAGACGAAACAAGATTAGCAGAGTTGATAAATTGCTGAAACTGGGAATAGACTATGCTCATAGGTGTGTGAAATGTTCCATTATAAAACGTTATTCTAAAAAGTTACCACATAATTCACATATAAATAATGAAGAACTGGCTCTGTGAATAGGATTCATTACAATTTTGTTTTCTATTAAACTACAAAATATCAGACCTTCAGTTAACAATTCAAACTTCATAATGACAAAGGTTAAGTCCTGAGAGTAAGGCATTAGGTTAAACTATGCTATCACACAGGGCTCATTCAGCCACAGGTGCTCAAAGCAGACAAGGACAGGGAAGATACCTATCAACAAAGAGAAAATATTCGGAACACTAGATCATAGGTTTAGGAACAGTCAAGCATTGAATACTTCACATTCCTGGCAGAGAAATACGAACAGAGGTAAATGAATCATCATAACCTACATCTAATGGTATGCTTTTCAAATGTTCCCACATTTTAGGAAGACTAGATACATCATTAGGAGTCAATGTTCATGACTACATAATGTAACCTTCCTAAATCATTGCTATTCTATCTGGGAAACACAGCAGAAATAGGAATGAAAAATATAAAGAGGAAACTTGTCCAAGTCTATATTTCTACCCTCTTATAACTTTAGAATGTTCCCCAGATAATACACAGTATGCATTGTTAAAAATCCTTATAGTTTAATATTGGACTAGAATGTTTTACCAGTTACTAGTTTGAAAAGTGAATCTTGTACATTGGGTTAATTAGGTAGGTAACTCTTAACACAATGACACATTTTCTTTGTGTTTTGCTACCTTTCCTGAAGTCATAAACCTGCCACTGATGTCAATGCCAACAGGTTCTGTAGATGTCTTCTCACTGCTTGAAGAAGGTTCTGACTTAACAGAACTGATTTTCTTTTTCTGTTGTGATGATGAAGTCTAAAAAAAAAGTATTAAGATGTAAAAAATTTTGTGTGAAAGCATGTGTGTATATTTAAATTCTATTAAAATTCTCATATGAAATATGACTCTCAAATAATGAGTGTCTAATGAAACTACACATCTTTTGAAAACTAAGAAGCGATGAAAACGTACTGTGTTTGAACTGTTAGTTTAAGACTAGTAGCTCCAAGTCACAAATATGTAAAAACAAGTGACTAGTATTTAAAGCAAACATCAGGTCTTATAAGGTTACCCAAATCTATGAATAATGCAGTAATTGTACCATGTATTAATTTGCTGTCTAGTAGGGTATTGGTTTTACACACTAAAACACAGCAACTGATTAATAGCATAAGTTAAAATCTATTAAGAAAATTACCTTCTCAAGACTACTCAACTCTTTGTGCTTTTTCATCACACAATTCAAAATATCACAAATAATTTTGATTTTCCATTCTGCAAATCCACACTGGAGAAACTGCTTTTTTGTCAAGATTGGTTTATAATTAAAGTGATCACGAAGAAGCTGTAAAGCGGGAATAGATCAATGTAAAATTGGAAGCAATTTCTTTCGAAAATCCAAAATCATAAATGGCCACTTGGTCAGGGATATAAGCCATCTTTGAGAGGAGGAGGAGGATCAAGCCATTAAGTAAAGGGTACTAAAGAGATTGTAGGGATGGTGTGTAAGTCATGACCAGGTAGAAGTAGCCAAGTAGAAAACAGGTAGCAGGGGATGTACCGGACAATAGATGACTGTCCAGAGAGAGTAGCCATAACACATGGTTCCACATTTCTCTCCAATTTCCACTAGCATGCCAAATTTTACTAAAGTTTGATATAGAAGGGCCAATTGATGACCAATGACAAATGCTTAGCAGTTGTCATATTTAATAGAGTATAAAACATAAAGCAAGCCTGAATTACATCTTGATTATAATAAAGACTGCATTTAAATGAGATAAATGCATAGGAAAATATGGTCAACTGTCCATGCTCATGTATTTAAGGAGTTATTATAAAAACATTTTAAGATTTTTTTTTAAGATTTTAAAAAACCATCACTGACTTCTAAAGCAATCATTGTTTTATAAATTCAAAAATACCTTATAGACAGTATCTATAAAGCGCAAGTCATTCTTTGCTATGAGCTCTAGATTGGATTCCATCAAAAGTTCTGCTACATAAGGTGAATATGAGGTAAGGGAATAGCTGATGATGGGCAAAGATGCTGCTACATCTCCCTTTACCAAACTGTTGGGGAAAAAAGAAAAAGAATTTTAATGAGCATAATTCCACAAACTTGGATAATCAAGAAAATACACGAATTATTGTCAATAATTAGTAACTTAACATTATAGTCATAATAATTGATGCAGACCCTTTAGATTCCATTCCCTACTCTAAATCAGTGTAGCCAAATTATTATGAAATTCTATTATTCATTTCTTCAAACAGTTGCAATAGCTCTTTGGTACTGACAGTCTATTTACCATAGTATTTACTGATTTTCCAAAGTTTAGCCTTACTCAATCTAGTCCATTTTCTAATAAAACAAATGTGCCATTACAGTGCTCAAGTACAATTCACACTTTTGAAAACACTTGTTATGTTAACTCATTTGCTTTTTACCATAAACCTGCAAAGGTAAAATATTATGAATTCTAAATTACAGATGAGGAAAACAGGGCAGGCATTTATGGCAACTAGGCTGATCAGTTTACTATCTTCCACCTTGTCAGTCTCCTTTGAAATCTGCATCTTATTAGATTATGCTAATTTCTCCAGTCTAGAAAGGTATCCCACTCTTCTCTGCCTAGCTGTTGTTCATACTTTATGAATCATTTGTCAAATCTCAAGCTTTCCATGAAGTCATCTTCAACATTTGATCTGCATTTATCTCTTCCAGAATGATTTCCGGGTATTCAGTATCTGATGCCTCATGCTGTCTTGTATTGTTTTCTAATTGTCTACATATGGGTCTTATTTTCTCAATACCCTCTCAGTACCTTCACAGATTCTCCCACAATAAAGTACAGAAGAGATTTGTTCAATTAGCCAGTTACATTTGTTCAACTAAAGCAATAATGCACTTACATAAAACATTTGTTTTCCACAAAATTCAAGACGCACATAAATCTCCCTATCCCCACCCAAATTTTTTTAATAAGGCAGAGAAAAAGACAGCATTACATTCTGTTTTTCAGGACAAATATAAATTGTTCCTCTTTTATGTTTATGGGTATAATAATATTTTACCCAATGAAAAAGTTGCTCTAGCAACCTTATCTACCTGTAAGACAGTTCAAAAAAAGAATATGAAAAAAAATACTTTGGAACAGCAAAATCTGTCCCATTTTATGCACATTATGAATAGAAGACAGCCAGGTCTGCATTTAACATCTCTTATATAAAACAACCTCAAAAATCTCGGTTATCTAGTTTCTAAGGACTTTGATTAGAAACAGTAAGACAAGCAGATATTATAAAACCAAAATTAAAAAAACAGCCGGCCGAGTAGCTCAGTTGGTTAAGAGCTCACTCAAGAGTGCAAACTGAGTAACAGCGTTGCCGGTTTGATTTCTGGGCCGAGCTGAGCTGTCGCTGAGCTGCCTGATGGCTCAGCTAAAAACAAACAAACAAACAAAAAAACAGCAGATCACAAGAAAAATTTTTAAATGGGAAAAAGTAGAAAGAATCAAAATAAGTGTGTGGGGGGCTGTGTGTGTATATGCGTATGTGTTGGGGGGCGAATCTGAAGAGAAAGCAGCAAGTAGCGTTACCTATCTCAACAGACCTTGCATTACTGTTATGACACTTTACTGTTTTTAATGACACTCTTGGGTCAATAAGAAAATCAAATGTTTAAATGCTGTACTCAGAAGAAAGGAAAATAAGCATTAGAATTATTCCCATCCAAAATGTCTTTTAAAATGCTTATGCTTAAAGTGGTAAGAAAAAAACTTGGCTACTCAAACCGGTTAAGTCCTGGCAAGACTAGACAGACATTTCCGTTAGGAGGCAACCTATGATTGGTACATACTATGGAATACCTTCAGCTTCTCACTTATAATTCCTGTAGCAACAGTCAGTAGAGCCCAACTTTCTCCTTATTCTTACTATCCTTTCATTTGCAGTCATCTCTTGGTGTTAGCTCTCCCTAGTATATAACCAGAACATCCATTTTTATATGGAAAGCCCATTATTTGGGGTTCTACTTTGTAGTTGGTTTAACCAAGATTCACTCTACTACTTAAACATATACCTAAGCTGGACTTGTCCCTTGACACTTACTCATTGACTAAATACCTAATTAGCTTCTAACAGGTACCAGGCATTATTCTAGATGTGGACATACTGCAATGAACAAAACAAAGTACTAGACTTCGGTTTACACTCTAGGGGGGAAAGATTTAATCAATAATCCCAGGTAAGAAGAAAAAAAAGTATTAAGGGATAGAGGATAACAGGAGTACCATATTAGATTGGCATGGATATAGAAGAAATGTATGTTGCTACATTTTACAAAAGCAAGTAAGTCATATTTGGAAAGTGGAAACTAAGTGAAAGATTAAAAGTGGAATCTGTCAAGTGAGTTAGCTTAATAACAATCTTCAGGCATGGCATAAGTTGTCATGAGAAATTTATTAACTATTATTATCTATTATCTTCCAAATCAAAAAGAAATACCACCCAACTGAATGTAAGAGGGTGGTAAATTATATAACTAATGAAATTCATTATATTTCTATGAGTTTAAAAGTCATAAAGAGACCATACTTTATATTGACATATATTGTGCTTCTATTTCTAAAAGGTGTTTTAAATCTCGTGTTGAATTTTTTTCATTAATTTATACTTTGAAACAAACTCCTGTAATTCCCTGCTTTCTAAAATATTTTAATCATTTCAAGGAAAATTTTTAAAATACCCAGATAAAATCTGTCTTTATTTAAATACTCCTCTCATGTCAAATATTATCCCAAATCATTACAAAAAAAAATACAAATAAGTTTGATATTATAGCATACCCTACACAATCCACCTCTTGAGGATAATTTAGCGAGCGGAGAACTTGTTCTAGGTTCCGTAAGCTTCTCTTTAAGTCACCTGTTGCCATTATTTAACATTACATTCAGCTTCAGCTTTTGAAATAACCTAATTTTCACCTAAAAGTAAGAAATCCATAAAACACTGGTTAAGTGTGTATATTTTTGAAGCTTCTCTAGTCTATTTTGTTCATATCTCCTATAGGTACTTACCATTTTTTATCTTATTGTAGCTATTTCTCCCCTAATTTATCTTCCCTATTGGTCCAATACTGTCAAGTACCATTTGGGAAGAAACATCAACCTCAAATAATCTCATCAATGACTATTTTAGATGCTTATATAGGCCACATAATAAAATCAGTAAAAAATGAAGACAAAGACATTTAGCACAGATTGAGCCATTATACCCAGGCTTCTGACCTCATGCAGTTGCCAATTGGATGCTTTGCTTAAAAAATAAAAATAGATGAGTTTAAAAAAAATATATATATATATATATTCAGAGTTCAGCTGGTACAATACAGCAGATCAAATGCATGTTATCTTCATTCCCGTTTTCTAAACATCAGTAAAACCACATATACTAACCAGGGCAAACAGAACTAGAAGGGATTCCACTTGACAGAAAAGGTATCAACAAAATTTTAGGAGATAGAAAGCAGAAGGATGAGTGATAACCAATCTAGCAGAGCAGAGATAGGCCAGTCCCATTTGCCTATTTAGGAGGAAACCAACAGCAACAAGATAGGTTAAAAAATGAGGGGTCCCTAGCAGTTCTGACAGGCTGAGGAGTAAGTCCATGGGGACTGAAATAAGGATGATTATTTGAAAGTTCATACAAGGAGCTGCTAAACCCTCGATTTTTACTTTTCCTCCCCATCCCACACACAACGCAGCTGGACAACTACCTCTCTGCTTCCCTGGATTTACCAGTGAGTTTTTAGGTAATATCAGAGCATAATTTGTGAATTAAAAAATTAACAAGTTGTACTTCATTAAAATTAAAAATGTCTGTTCTACAAAAGCCACTGTTAAGAGAGTGAAAAGACAGGGAGAGAATATTTAAACCCTCTACTGAATAAAAGACTTGTTTCCAAAATATACAAAGAACTTTTAAATTTAAGAGTAAGAAAACAAACTACCCTATTAAAAATGGGCAAAATATCTGCACATACATCTCACCAAAGAAGATGTATATATGGCAAACAAACATGCAAGAAAAGATGCTCGACACCATGCATCAATAGGCATTTGCAAATTAAAATAAAACAAAAAAAACAAAACAATGATACCACTACACAACTATTATAATAGCTAGAATCCAAAAAACTGACGATACTAAATGCTTATGAGGATTTAGAGCAACAGGAACTTTCATTTACTGCTGGTGGGAATGCAAACGGTCTAGCCATTTTGGAAGACAGCCTGGCAGAGGTCAAACCATTTTGTATGATACTGCAATGGTAGCCATATGACATTACGCATTTCTCAAAACCTATAAAACCGTAGAGCACAAAAAGTGTATGCAAAATTTTAAAAAGCCATTTAGGAAGCTGGCAAATCCTAGGAAGAAATGCAGAGTGTGATGAGAGAGTCGAACTGTATTACTGATTAATGTATGAAACCACCTCATAGTAAGGGATGAGTAGAAAAGGTGCTAAGTAACTCTGGAAATGAGTGGACCCTGTGAGACTAATGGCAAAATAACTGCACGTAAACACTGCTCTCTAGTTTATAAAGTTGTTTCCCATGTATATGTGACTTCATTCTGATACTTTCATACATATATACTGGAATTGAACTATTAAGGAAACTGATGGCTAAACAGTAGGAACCAGGTTTCTCACTGCTGGAGTGGGACTTGACAGATAAGCACGGGGAGGAGCATAGAAAGAACCATGCCTAATGGATTAGAATTAGAGGCATCAGTATGAATTCATGTTTAGCTTAATATAGATACAGAGAGTTTCATACTGAAATATTTATTGATTTGTGCATACAGACAGCTTGGTATACATACATATATTTCCTTTCTCTCCCAACTGAAAGTGACTAAAAGCAACAACGCCCCAGTAGCAGAGAGCACACCTGGCATCCAGATCTTGGTGTGTAATGCTATTCTCCAATAAAAGAAACCAGGGCTCCCTGGAGAAATGGCCAAATCTAGGACTGGAGCAGGAAGCATACAAGATGAACCTGAAGCACTGTGCAGTTCCAGAAAGCAAGAAAGTGCACACAAAACAAACAAACCGATCCCACAATGATGGGGGTATGTCAAAAGGACCCAGGAGCCAAATGAAACCGCTCCCAATGGTCCAAGCTAAAACAATGTGAACATCAAAATTAATAAAATACGATCAAATTATAACCCAACAAAAAATCAGTATAATTCAATACATTAACATTGGTTAAGAGAAAAAATCTTATAATCATTTTAATACATGCATAATAGGCATTTGATAAAATTCAACATTCATTCATTACATAATTCTTAGGACATTAGGAATAGAAGGAAACTGCCTGTATATTTGATAAAGGATATCTACAAAAAAAAATCTAGTGCAAACATCATACTTAATAGTGAAGTATTAAAAGCTTTCTTCCTGAGATTAGGAATGAGGCAAGTTTATAGACTCTCATCATTTGTATTCAACATTGTACTAGAGGTGGTAGCCAGTACAAAAATGAAAGAAAAAGAAATAAATGGAATAAAGACTATAAAGGAAGAAATAAAAATGTCATTATTCACAGCTAACATAATTGTATATGAAAAAATCCAAAAGAAATACATGAATTTAGCAAGGTTGCTGGATAGAAGGCCAATGTAGAAAAATCAATTGTATTTCTCTTTATTCTAAAGATAATTAGAGAATATGTTTAAAAATTATATATGTACAAATAATTCACTATAACCTCAATATGTATCATAAACATGTGAATAAATCTGAAAAGTGTAAGACCTCAAAACAAAAAACCATAAAACTTGACTGAGATATATTAAAGAAGCCCTAAATAGAAGAGGTATACACCTTGATCAAGGATTGACACAATATATTAATCCATAGATTTAATGCATTCCTTCCCCACCCCACGCCCACCCCCCAAAATCCTGCGTTTTTCTTAGGTCAACATTGACAAGTTGAGTCTAAAATTTATATAGAAATGAAAAAGATAAAGGATAACTATCAAGATCAAAATTGGAGGACTTAACCACTGGATATTAGGACTCATTATCAAGTCAAATTTGGAATTAATGAAAAGATGTACAAACAGAACACTGGAACAAAATAGAGTCCAGAAATAGATCATGCATATACTAATACTAGATTTATGACAAAGTTGATAATGAGTATCCCTGGAGAAAGAATGGTCTTTTTCCATAAATAGTACTGTGTCAACCGAATATCCAGATGGAATAAATAAATCTTGAACCCCTGATGTAAAGGGTACCCCATATCCTTCACAAAATTAATTCCAGGTCTGTTGAAGACCTAAACGCAAAATGTAAGACAATCAGGTTTTCTGGAGAATAATATTCTCTTCAGAATACAATAATCTTTATGAGCTTCAGGTACAGAAAGATTTCTTAACTTATGACTGATAAAATGAAACACATTAAAATTAGTAATTTCTGTTCATCAAAAGACACCTTTAAGAGAGTAGAAAGATAAGCCATTGAGTGGAAGATGATGCTGTCAATATATATATAACCAACAAAAAATTCATATCTAGAGTATGTAAAGAAATTCCCACAAAGCAATAACAAAAAGAAAGACAACTCAATAGAAAAATGAGACAGAGGCCTAAAATGGAGTGTCACAAAAAAGTAAACATGTGAAAAGATACTCAAACTCATTAATTATTAGCAAATTGCACAGTAAATTGAAAATGTGAGGCTGTAGAAGATCTGACACACACAATGCTGTGAAAGGGTCAATTAGCACCAAATTCCTTTGGAAAATTTACTGGTGATATGTACTAAAGCTGACATACATAGGACCTGAGAGACAAAAACACAACTCCAAAGAACACACATAACAGAACGTGTATGTGTGTGCACCAAAAGACACAAAAAATATTTGAGATTTTAAATTAAATGGTTCATTTTTTTAAATCCCAAAGAAAATAATACCATGGAATTATATTTTTAAATGACTCTTTGTATTTCATGGGATAGTGACTTTGTTAAATTCTCAAAAAAAAAAGGTTATTTCCTAAGGAAGTTAATAAAATAACTTAATAAACACATATTGTACTTAAGAACCTTTGCTAGAAAGAGATGAAAGACTTTTAAACTATAACTCTAGTCAAGCAGGAAGGCAAAAATCAATAACACACTTAAAAATATCTATTTGTAACTGTCCATAGACACTTCATAAATGGAAAATATACCTTGAGCAATGAAACCTCTGGGGATGAAGCTCCTTTAAAATTAAGTCACTGACATTAAAAACAAAACACAACAATTCATAAATCAGGTAAAGTTGGATTAGTATGATCTTTTCCCCCTACTCAGCTTTCCAGCAGTTGCTCAGGGTACAAATCATCTCCTTACACACCTCTGTATCTGTACTTACTACCTAACGGCAATAAGGCTAGCAATTTGAAAAATCCTATATTTAGTAAGTTTGCTAGTTTAAGCCTCTAGCCATCCAATTCTGTACCCTTTCCCCATCTTTGGGAACACAGTATCTTCCTGTTCCAAATGTCCTCTCCTTTATCAAAATGGTAAAGAGCAGGTTATTGAATATACTTTTATACACTCATGCATAGGTTTTAGTCAGTATTTTTCAGCCATTCAATTATTTCAACTAAACGTTTACATTTTTAGGCAGAGGGAATTTCAGGTACTGTCAAATGGGAGAGAACTAGAAAAAAATGAAGTGATCCTAAAATCACATTATACAAAATACTGTCCAAAAAGGTAAACCTTATTTAACATCGGTTAGGATGACTGGCGGATAGATGGACATATGGAAGCAATAAGAGAGATGACCTCCCATAACCAGCCTTTACTTTCCTGGGAAGGATGAAGTGGGAACTTATCTGGCTGTAAACTGCAAAGTATAAATATTCCTAGGTATTGTCATTGGCCAGTATAGTAGGTCTCAGTTTGTTTTAAGTTCCAGATTCATCTACCTTAATACAATTCTTCTAGGGTACCTTTTCCCCTAAGACATTCTATAACTTTAATATAGATTGTATCTCTTCCCACAGACTTCCTTTAATCATTCCAGTTGTATATTCCATCTTTCCAGTACATGTAATTTTGTTTTTACACTTTACGGTATCTTTCCATCTTTCCTTTCTCTGAAGTCCTGGAACATATATCAACATCTCATATTATTTCTACCTCTGGTAATGGAATTTCTGACAACAAAGTATGTCCCTGGAACACACACTCTTTAGTATCAGCAAAACAAACATTTTGAAGAAGAGTAATATACAAGTACAGCTTGGATCTGTAGGTAAAGGAGATGTGATAAAACAGGATAGAATAAACAAAGGGATAAAAAAATGTATTATAGAAAAAAATTACAGTTACTGTTCTACATTTTTCATGAAAGGCTTTATTTACTGTCTATTACAATAATGAAAAACACTAAAATTAAGATATTAAAGGAAGTCAATCTATGGCTTATGCACATTTTAAGTTTCAGAGACAAAAATAGCTTGTTACATTTAAAAATTAATATTTTGACTTTATAATTCTTATCAAGGGAAATGAAAAGGAGATAATACTCAGCTTGTAGCATAATCCTTAAGATCTCAATATTGTTTCTTCCAGAGAGCTGTCTCTACTCGTCATCTGTGCCCAACTGAATTCATTACCCAAGATGTTGTGAAAGCAGTATACAATAGAAGTTTATGATTTTTAATCTAGCTCGATTTCATTGCCGTTAGAGGTCATTAAATGATGCCTCCCAAAGGAATGCCACTGAACTCAAGAGTGATTTTTGTTCAAAATGAAGCCACTACACTGACTGTAACCATTACTATGGTGGATGACTAAGAGTTTGTGACAAAGCTCATAACTCTAGATACTATCTAAAAACCATGTGTATGAAAAATAAAGAGAGGAGTAGAAATGAGGAAAAATTAAGTTTATGAAACTTTCAGCAAAAGATATTTGAGAAATACTGCTCTAAGAAATAGGGAGAAAGATCTGGGAAAGAAAAAACATTGGGAAAATTAGGGAAAAAACAAAGAGGAATAGGGACAGTATAGAGTTCAGCAGGACTGCTGTGTTCACATAAAACTGTTAAAAGGTTTGTAGATAATTTTAGAAAAAGTGTCGTACAGCTATAATTCCAGAATTAAAATGTCAAGATTGATGTTTTTCATAGTGAGGGAAAAATCAATAGTTGTCTAGGAAAGTGGAGAAATACTAAAACACCAGGGGAACGCAAGCAAGGAAAACATCCACTACTTTCATCTCTCCCTTCTATTTCCGATGAAGCTGAATCGCTCCTCAGCTCAGGGGATCCAATAAGAGGAAATAGATTATAACTTCCCAATCATAAATCACAACCTAATCTCAGAGGATGAGCTGCCACGATTTTTTCTACTTCGTTGTTACAAAAGGATGTACCAGTTGGGTATTTAGGAAATGTATACCTAGGGCTCCCCTCCTTCCATTTGATTTAAAAGGATGAAAAGGTAGACCTGGTCATTAGCTCCCGCCGGGGTCTCGGTACGGGCAGCGGAGAGAGGAGCCCCCAGCCCAGTCTAAGGTGGAGCTCCCCCCGGCTCACCCAGCAGCCGGCGAGCAAAAGAGCGGGCTCCGAAAGCCTCTGGCCCCGCACAACTGGGAGATGGGGCGGTAGCATAGAGCCACAGGAGCCCAGCCTCCAGCAACTAGTCCCTGCGGCCCCACGCCTGCGCCCGGGCACGATTCTCGCGCCGACCGTTTGTATTCGGAACAGCGGGTGGAAGCCCGCCACGCACCGCGGCAAGATCTTCAAAGCTGCCCGCTCCCCAGAGCTCCACGATTCCTCGCTGCAGATTCCACACCGCGATCGACCAGACTCCTGAGGAGACTGGCTCTGCTAAGACCCTCCTCAATGGCCAGTCGGACCCCAGGCTGCAGATTAGAAGTTTGCCTAATTTTGATGTTCAGAGTGGCGAGGTTCTGCCAACCGAGACGCTCGGAACCTACAGCGAATCGTATACAGCGGGGATAAAAATGCTGTTTCTTTATGGCTCAGACTCGCAACGTCACTTCCGGCAACAATAGGAAACGTCAAAACTCGGGCAGGCGGCAGCCCTGGCTGCTGCTGCTTTGAGGTACCCTGAGTTCGGAGTGGGCCAGGGCTGCTTCAGGGATTCTCGCCGCTGTCACCTCCACCGGCGTGAACAAGTAAAGTTTGATCCGACTTCTCCATGGCCTGGGCACCAGTTCCCGGCTGAGCCATTTTCTTTTTGGCTAAAAGCCCCCGCCCGGAGGCCGATTCGTCGCGGCGGCGGTGGAGATCGCAGGTCGCTCAGGTAAGAGCATCCGGCTAGATATTTCAGAACTCTTGCCTGTTTTCCCTGTACACTCCTACTTTTCTTCTTGGAAATAAAGACAACCGGTGCTTGCCAGTTGGCAGAAACTTGCCAACCAGCTAGACTTTAGGGCCAATGACAGTGCAAAGCATCCTGAATGACAGCGGTGATGGCTTATTAAAATGAGGAATCGGTGTCAGGAGGCGGGAGTAGGTGTGTCCCTTGTGTTTCTAGGCCATTGGGGTACAGGTCAGTTTGGGACCCCACGAAGTGACCCGGCTCCATTCTGTAATAAAGCCGAGAACGGCAATGATGACTTTCCTAGCCTAAGTGGTGCTTTTCAAGTAGAGTGTGTGTGGGGGTGGGGTGGGGGGGCAGTTTTCAGTTCTTTACATACAGTTAAGGTCACGATGGATTGCCAGTTGCTTCAGTTGTCAAACTTTGGTTATAAATTTGGCAGATTCTTAATTTGTTCCGTCTTGTTTGTTTCTCTGTGACTGGGCTCTAGTGTTTTTACATGGTGGATGCTCAATTAAATATTATTAATTGGATGAAATTACATAAATGAATCCTAATCCTCAGTCATTTAAGTTTTTTGTTGTTTTATTTTTAGGTTCTTTATGTATTTAGTAATTTGATAATTGAGTCGACTTGTTTCAACAAATGGAATTTTTATTTTCAAAGATCCTAGGTGTTTCTTTCCAAATCAATATATCATGAACTTTATTACTGCAAGGTGAAGCTAATTTATGTTTTCCATTTTAGCTTTTCTTCATTTAATATTTGGAGTTTGTTAACCACATATTTGAGGTAGAAGAGTTCCCCTCCCCCTAAGAAAATGGTTTACAAAATTGAGCAAAATGAAGAATAAATTTTATTCTATTTTTCTGGTTGAGTAGGAAGCGTCCCATTTTTATCCAGTTAACTTGACAATTTGTCTGATGAGATATTGTATTAGTTATCTATTGCTAAGTAACAAATTGTTCCAAAATTTAACAGCTTAAAATCACAAACATTATTTCAAAGTTTCTGTGGGTCAGAAATTCGGGCACAGCTTAGCAGAGCACCTCTGACTGGTGGTCAAGCTGTATCTGGAGGGCTGAGATCTCACCTGAAGACTCCATTGAGAGGTAGAAGAATCCACTTTCAAGCGCACTCACCTGTGTTGGCAGGCCTATGTTCTCCTGCCAGGAAATCCTTCATGGATTTCCCCATAGGGCGGCCTCACAATATGGCAGCTGGCTTCCCCTGAGGTGAGCTATCCAAGAGAGAGCACTCAAGACTCTTTTGTAACTCTATCTCAGAAGTGGTATCCCTTCACTACTGCCATATTGTATTTGTTAGAAGTGAGTCAGTAAGTCCAACTCAAAATCATTGTAGAGAGGATTACATAAGGATGCAAGAGTCTTTGAGAGCCATCTTAGAGGCTGCCTAACAAAGATACCCTGGCTGATAACTTTTAGGAGTTAGTAGGTGGGAATAACTGAGTAAAAATGCAGTCAGACAAGGAGAAATGCCAAACTGTAAAAAATAAACTTGTTCAAGCCATATCTCTCTTGGAAAAGTTTTTTGTGTCATCTAATTATCTGAAGAGAGGCTTAGTATTTTGCTTGAGAAACTTTGCCTGAGGGAATGATGTGTGTGAGAGGAATGTTTGTGATTTTTAGGGTCGACATGAGCAGAGCATATCACAGGTGGAGATTTGTATTCTTTACCCATTGCTGTTTTATATGGTTGAAATTGTATCAAAACAGACATGAGCAAAGATAGCTTTTAAGGGGAAAAGAAGTTAGGAAAGAGTAGAGGAAAGCCTTCCAGTGTAGAAAGAATGCAGGTGAGTGGCAGTCTTTATGATGGTACGAGATCAAATAGGGAAGGGAGAGGTGTATCTTAACAATAGAAATGTGTCTTGGATGTCTGTTTTTAAACATTATTAGGTGGCAGGTACCACCTTTTTCAGCATTACCTGGATACACATTACCAGCACAACTTTTGTCAATGAACCATATAAATTTATCGGAAATTAAAGGTATAGGCTTCAGGGATTTTTTTTGTTTGTTTTTTGTTTCTGTGTGTGTGTGTGTGTGTGTGTGTGTGTGTGAGAGAGAGAGAGAGAGAGAGAGAGACAGACAGACAGACAGACAGACAGACACTATTTGGCTGTGACCCATTGTAAAATTGCCTGTTTCCAGGCTTGAAAGATGTTGTAAATCCTTATCTGTTAGCAAAATATTCAAGTTTATTTTTTATACCTCAGGGGCTTAATACCAGCCTCATTGTGTCAATTCTCAGAATGTAAATTTGGCTTTTAAATTGAGGCTCCTTATCAGCTTAACATACTTCATTTATAGTTGTTTTGGGCCCTTAGATATCTGCAAAATTTTAAACAGATGCTTGCGAAAATTACACAGTTGAAATACTTCCATCCACAAAATATCTTATGATAATAACTTATAGATAAGCTAAAAAAACATGCATTGAAATGTATTGTATATGATCAGTTTAATAAGTAATGTTTTGTGTGTTTATTGTGCTTTTGTGTTGATTAAAACATTGAATTGCCAAGAGATGATCTTTCCTTTGATCACAGTAGATTGAAATTAGTCATTCCAATTTATGATTTTATAGTTCATTGCTTAAGCAACTGCTATGTACAGCTATCTATTTTTTTCCTCTATCTTGATTCAAATTTGGAAACTTAGGCTAATTCCTTAGCTGGCCTGTGACAATGTATCAAAATCATTAATACTGAAAGTCTATGAAATATATATCTTAACTCATGATGTTTTTCATTGAATTATTTTACTTAATGTTTTAAAAAAAATGAATGAAATACATTTACTTCTAGAAATTTGTGTTTGCTATATCTTTATTTTTTCTCATAATTTTGTTACTCTGACAAATTTATGACATAGAGTCTACAATAAAACTAAAACATCCTGATTTGAATACATTTATATCATATTAGGGGCAAGTACTTTTGTGGTGTAGAGATGCAAAAAAATACTGTGGTTTCAAGTTTAAACAGCAGATTTAGGGAGTTTAGCTCTGTGATCAGCAGTTTGTATGTTCTTCAAGAATAGATTGCATAGCATTTCATAAGCTATTTGAAAGAAGGAACAGGATTTTAGCAAGTGAGCCATGCTTGGAGAGCCCCTATCTGCTCATACTGAGTAGTGGTTTATAGAAGTCATGAACATGGGGAAAAGGAGAGATGGAAAGGACAGATGCTAAATACAGACAGACACACACACACACACACACACACACACACATCCATCTCCATCACCTCTTCATTTTACTTTTATTTTAAAAATTGTTTCTCATTTTATTTTTATAGAATCATAGAATTTTATAGTTTAAAGAGACCCTAGAGATCAACTTCAAAACCCTTATATTACAGGTAAGGAAACAGACTTCAAAATTTGAATGATTCGACCAATATTCACAACTAGTTAAAGTGGGAGCCTGAATCAAATCCATATTTTGTGTAGATCCTTTTTCATTATTATATGTTTTCTCATCTCATTTATGATTTTCCTCCTATTTTGAGCTGCCCTGCCCTCGATATTTGTTTATTTTAATACCTTGTTTTATGTGTATAAAAGCAGTTAAGTGAGAATTACAATTTTTGTTTTCTTTTGTTTTTGAATTCCACAACTCTCATAGGAATGGCCATTGTGGTTAGTGGGCATGGAGTGTGGTATGACCCCGAGGAGGGGAGTTTGGATATGCTGCCATGGCAGCTGCTGATTATAATTAGGCTGAGTAAATAGTGCAGTTAAGTAAGAACCAGCGTAATTAAAAGTAATGCAGATGAGAAGTATGATAAATTTTTTATTGAAAAGTTAAAACAGACTGGAACATTTCTTGCAAAAGAAATTAAAGAAATTAAATAAGTGAAATTAAATAGGCCCAGAATTCTGAGCTGTTACATTTAAACAACTTATCTTAATTTTTATATTTGTTTAAATTCAAGAACAGGAAAAAAACTTTCAGAAAACAAAGTAATATTGTAAATCTTTGTGAATTAAAAAAAAGTACAAATGGTATGCCTTTTAGTAACAAAAACTGCTCTTGCAGGAACAGATCTTTAAATTTAATGAGTGGGTTTTTTTTTATGTGTTTAATGTACCCTGTGACCTCTTTGTACTGAGCTATTTCCCTTTTCTCCTTAGAAAGAGCTCCTTGTGGACTTACCCTTCCTTCATTTCTCTACAGTTGTTGCCTTTCAATTTTAGAGGTGTGATTGGTTATCAGGTTTTTTCTTTTAATTCCTTTCCTTTTTTTTTTTTTTTTTAATTCCCTACTCACTCTCTTCTAAACTACTTTGGTGGTCTGTTCTTTTGGAAGTAGAGAAATAAATGCTGGGGTGCCAGATTGATTCTAAATGTCTCATAGAAAATGTTTTCTCACAGAATCTCCATGTTCTTATGCTGTTGAGTAATATCACATGATATCACTTAAAGATTTTTAAAACCTAAAATAACCAAAGATCCAGTTGTTACTTTCTACTAGGAAAACATTGAAAATTTCCAGAAAGATATAAATAAGTGACTATCCTCATCTTGAAGTCTTAATAGAAATTGTGTTTTAGAGATAACTCTTGGTACACACTTTAGATCTTTATCTGAGATAGAAAATTTCTTATTTATAAATTCCACTATTTAGACGTTTAAGAAATATTGAAGAAAACTAACCATTTATAATGAGTATTTATAAACAAGATTATTTGTGGCAAGCATCATAAGCCAGTGATTTCACCCCGTTTGCTCAGGAAGAGACTTAGGGATTCAGTTCGCTTCAAACAGAAGTACTTAAAGCAAAGTACTTTTCTGTGACCTCTGGATTTCTTTGTGTTCTTCCCATCTTCCACTGTTATTCTCCACCTGAATAGTATATAAACCATTATTTATTACTTGTAGTTGTCTCCACAGCATGTGCTATTTGAATGTTTAGTGCCGTGGAATTACTAAAAGCATTAATTAGTACAGTTACCT